CACCCCCCCACCCAAAAAAAAAAGGTTTCCTACGGTAAGTAATTAAAGGCAGATTTATTCCCCTTTAGATCCCCCTCTTTCTTTGCCCGTCGTCCCTTGGCTATAGGCTCCGCCTGTTTATCAATACTTCCCTTCCAAAGAGACATCTCGTCCTCATGGTAAAACGAAAGAAATGACTGTTGAATCATGCGATATGGTTCCCATGTTGTTTTATAGTCGGGCATATTCTTCCACTCAATCAACACTTCTCTAGCTCTTCATACTGTTGAACTGACTCCTTTCACTTCCCTTGGTTCTAAGATTACCTCCATTCCTTTTGTCTAGGTCATCGACAGCGTCACTGATGGACTGTGGTCGCCAATAACTTTTCTCAGCTGGGACACATGGAACATCATGTGTTTGGTGTAAGTAGGGGGTAGCTGCAAATGATTCCATGGCACCAATCCTCTCCACCACCTCGTAAGGCCCATAATATTATGGAAATAACTTTTCATTTCTTTTTTGAGCTAAGGTCTTTTTCCTATAGGGTCGAATATTCAAATACACTTTATCACCCATCTTGAACTGCATGTTGAAAGACTTTACCTCTCCTTTATAGTTGCCCTTGAAACTCCACTACTGTTGCGCCCATCACTTCCCCTAAGAACAACACAGCTAAAAGAACTTTGGCCTTGAACATAAAGAGACTACAAAATCTTTGCCAAAGCTACTCGTTTTTATTGATTTACGTTTTGCTGCACAATTCTTCTATGCCTTTGAACCCAATTATCACCCAATAAATCCTTTGCCTATGATCTTTGAACAGATCTAACCATGTATTGGATGTTATTCATAATGAATAGATAAGTCATCACAAGATCCTTATATTGCTTAGAGTTACTGTCCATGTTACATTGAAGAGCTTTGCATAATTTGCATTATAATAGTTGTCAATTGGGAAGTAGAATCTTCTCCCACCTTCTCAAACTCCTGAAAAAAATGCTTCTTGCTAGTCAAATAAAGACTTCATATAGTTAATCACATAGCTAGTTAGAGAGTGCACAATTCCATCCATCATACAATTTTTGTTGAATCTTCTTCCATTGCTTCCTTAAAATGATCAAAAGTTTCTTGAGCAATCTGGGCTAAGCGCCTTGAAAGATTATGAGCAACACCCCTAATCTTAGAATAAGTTTTCCTTTAAATATCATTTCAATCTCATAATGATGCTCGCACATTATTTCATACATGTCTAGAAGTACAAACAACTTCTCTGGTGACCCCTTGCTTTTAGTTATAACATCCCTAAAACTAAAAGCATCAATACATTATTTGTTGTCACTTCAACAAAGCAACGATCCTTAAGAACATTGATGCCATTAAAAATTTGATAACAGATTTTTCTTTCTGCATCAAGCAGGAGTTTCACAACAATCCTCATATAGTGAATCCAATTTTCAATTTTGGACTCTAGAACCTCCCATGGCATCTTCTATACATCCTCTTTACTGAGCTTTTCCACTCCTTCACCTTGAATTTCCCTCACTATGATTTTAAGAGAACCCTTGGGTTTGGACAAACTAGGATCCCCTTGATCTTCACCTTCCTCCATCCCACCATGAATTCCAGAGTCAATGCCTTCTAGTTCATCTTGGTCTCCCCCAGAGTCTACAATTACTTTATGCCCAAAATTACATCTATGCTCCCTAACTTCAAGAGAAGGAATCCTCCCTCACTTGGATCTCCTGTAGTGTCACCATCACCCCTGGGCAAATGCCTCTACTCTTCTCCACCTTCCTCATTTCCATCATCACCCCAAAACATCCCATGTCGACCAACTTCAGCCCCAACCAGTCCACCACCTTGTTGAAGATGAAATTATGGGTCGCCCCATTGTCCACCAGAACTGTCACTGATTCTCCTCCTATATGTCCGCTCAACTTCATGTTGTGATTTGAGGTAAAATCACCACTAAGCTTAGAGAGACCTCTGCCACATTTAGGTTCAAATGCTCCTCCTCCTCCTCCTCAACCACTTCCTCCTCTAGAGTCTCCTCCTCCTCATCATAGATTGTAAGTACCTACAGCGAATAGTCCTTGTAGTGGTGGCTCGGTGCAAACTTCTTATCACAACGGAAGCACAATCAGCTCGCTTATCCTGAATCTCTACCTCAGTCAACTGCTTGAAATTTTCCCCGGGTCATGCAATACCCTATCCTTGGGTACTTCTCTCTGAATGGGCACAGGCTGTACCTTGGGTGCCAAAAAAGTAGTCGTCATCCAGTATGAAGCTCCCGAACTGCTACCCTTGTTGCTTATCTCAAGTGAGTTTTTGTCCTCCACCATCTGGGCTAGCTCTATAGCCTCCCCCAACCCTTGTGACCTCAATAATCAGATAATGCCGCCCATGATATATGGTTTAAACTCCATCATGAAATTTTCTTGCAACACTGTCTTAGATAACCTCCTCAATCGGCTATAAGGTACTCAAACCTCTCCCGATAATCCATCACTATCCCTTCCTGAACCAGAACAAAAAACTGCTCGTAAAAGTCTCCTTCCCGACTGGTTCGAAAATATTCTAATAAACTATATTTGAACTCCCTCCATAATTAGATGGATCTCTCATGTCTCTCCACTGATATCAAGACAAGGCATTCCCCTCCAAGCGTAAAGCCACTATCATGAGTCTCTCCTCCTCCACCAGCCCATTCACTGTAAAGTAGCTCTCCACCCTATAGATTCACCCTTGATCATCTTTCTCCTAAAAGCCAGTCATGTTCAACTCTGGGATCCCCTCCGCCCCAACTTCCTCTTCCTCCTCTAGCTCCTCTCATTTGGTGATTATTGTGATCTCTTAATTGTTCTCTCCCACCACTCCTTTCATAGATATTGTCTTCCTCAAAATCAACCATTCTCATTTCTTCCCCATAATTTCTCCTCGTGTCATATCCTTTCGAAATGAAAGAAAATATGAGCAATCATTCTTTTTAGTGTTATCGTCATAATAAATGAAATATTCTTGTGACAAGTTTCATTTCCTGTAAAAAATATAGTGAAATCATCTTTCCTATTCCTTCCCCCGACCCTGCTACGAAAAAAGACATTCACTTATTAAACTATCCCATATATGTAGGTGAGAATAGGGGAAGGGGTCATATTTACTCTGATGGTAGCAAGAGTAATAATACAATTTATAATGCTCACCCATTTTTCTCCTGGTTATCAATTCAAGAAGTGGCATATTTTCCTTGTTGCCTAAGATTTATGTCTCTCGATCATCCCCCATTGTGCCAATATTAGGGGTTCCCCCACTTCCTTGGCCACCCGGGCCTTTGATATTGCCAGTTGGGTAAGAAGCTCCAATATTTTCTTCATCACATCCTCTGGTTAGAAAACCTTCCTTCCATAGATGAAAATCGTTCTTCAAGTTCACATTTGCGTTGGCCAACTTCTCATTCTAGTTTCTCTTCCAAAGTATCTACTTTCTTTGACGCCATAGGTCCCGAATCATGCTCTGATACCAATTTGGTAGGAATCCGATCTCCTAACAGCAAAAACAACAACACCGAAGAAAAAACACAGCAGAAATCAACTAGAAAGGAAGAGATTATGGGCTTATTTTCTTTGATGAAGGCACAACCAAATAATATACAAGTTGATCTACTATTCGAGAGGTAGATCGGCTCTACACAAACCCTTGACGCTGCTAGGAACAACTCCAAAAAAAAAAGCAAACACAATCACATTATGACATTTAAACAACCTAATTAGCCCTATATAAGACTCCCAATTCTCTAACAAATCTCAATTCAAAACAACCCCTTTTTTAAATAAATCTTCATAATTCCCTTCCAAATCTCAATTCAAATCAGCCACGTTTCCATAAATAAATCTTTCCTAATTCCCACCAAAATATGAATTCAAATCAATCCACCCTTTCCCTAAATAAACTTTTCTAATTTCCTCCCAATTTTTGTTTCCTATGGCAAGTAATTAAAGGTGAATTTATTCCCATTTGGATCCCCCTCTTTCCTTGCTCGCCGTCCCTGCTAGTGGGGCTCACAAGCTATGCTGGTTGATCAATTTCTTCTTAATTTATTGAGTTTTCAAGTTTTTATTAGGTGAAATATTTTTGAATGTATTAAATTATTTGTTCTAATGACATGGTAGAGATGGCCAACCTTTGGTGATCATTGGCGGAAGTTGATGGAAAATTGTGTTAACATGAGCACGCACAAAATGTTATAAAACAGAAGATTACTTTCATTCTTTTGAGTTATGAAAAGTTAACTGTTTTCTACAACATGGAGCATTCAAAGAGTTTGAATCAACAATATGTTTTTACTAGTCCAATATTTTTACAATATAGTTAATGGTCATTTAACCACACCAGCGAAAATTCTTTTGGCACTCTATCTATACAGCGGTGGGTATCAAACTTTTATACTTTATAATAGCA